CCGAACACCTGGGTCCCCCCCCCGGACCCCGGGGTCCCCCCAGTCCCCTCCCCAGATGTCTGGGGGTCCCCCCCAAGGTTGAGGGGGGCGCGGTGCCAGGCCGGGGCGAGGGTGCAGGGAAAGGAAGGGCGGGGTTAGGCTGGGTTTAGGCAGCGTTAGGCTGGGTTGGGTACACGTAAACTGGGTTAGGCAGGGTTAAGGTAGGGTTAGGCAGGGTTTAGGCAGGGTTAGGCAGGGTTTAGGCAGGGTTACGCTGGGCATGAGGAAGAAATGCTTTACGTGGGGGGTGGCAGGACGCGGGGCCATGAGCGTGTCACGCGTGTGTGTGACGGGCCGTGCGCGTGTCACACGCCTGCGCCAGGCTCTCTGCTCCCATCGCCTCCTTTATTACAAAGCTGGCCCTGCGCGGGGCACCCCGGATGCCTGGGACCAGCCGGGGGGCCCTGACCCTGACCCCTCCCGGCCCCCCGCCAGGGACCCAGGCGTCCGAGGCGACCCCCTATTTCTGCCTGACCTCGGAGTAGATGGTGCAGCCGTCGAGCTGGGGGGGGCTGTGGGGCGCCGCCCCCCCCGGGGCACGGAAGGCCAGGGTCGAGTACTTGACCTCATCCTGCAAGGCAGCACCGCGCGTCGGGGACGCAGGCGTCTGGGCCCCGCAGCCCCTCTGGGGACGGGACCCAGGGGTCCGGGTCCCCCAGACGCCACCTGGCACCCCTTACCGTGCAGTCTGTGCTGTCCGCCACCGGGGCCTCTGTGGGGCAGAGAGGGGGTGAGGTGAGCACCCCAAGGCCTGGGGGTCCCCGCGATACCCCGAGACACTGGGGGGGGGCACACAACTCACCGCAGGGCGGGGCACCGGGTTTGGCTCCGTTGAGGGAGGTGGAAGTCGAGGACCTGGGGGCAAAGCAGAGCCCTGAGCGGGGCCGGGGGGCTGGGGGGCCCCGGGGGGCCTGGGGTGGCCATGGGTCCCATCACCTTACCTGCCGACGTGGCGCCAGAGCAGGTACCCGGCAGGCC